TACCCGGAAACACTTGCTTGGTCTAGTGACCACATATCCTAATCTTTCCACTTTGATTTCGCATTCAATTTCAAGTTGTTAATCATAGATTACTTGTAACTTGAGAATTGGTGCTTGCCTATGTATTTTGATCTCATTTAGTATGCTTGAAACTGTATACTTAAACTTGTATCCTTGTTGGTGTATCTAAACTCTATCTAGTGTATTTACGCTTAGTATGCTTGTCTTGTATGTGCGGATTTCATTTTTGTATACTTGTGCCATGTATACTTGTCTTGTGCGTATGTGTTTAGCTTAGTATACTTGTGTTTGTATACTTGATTTATGAGTACACTATACATATATCTTATACTTGTGCATGTATGTTAGATATTGCTTATCCCGTTTAACATGATTTAGTATACTTGTGAGCATGTGTACTTGAATGTCGTGTATCATGTTTTAATACGGTTTAGTGTCCTTTGGCATGTATATTTGTATGCCGTAGTTCATTTCAATTGCATGAGTAACTTAGGATGCTCCTTGAGTCTCATTTTGATATAGACGTTAGGTGGCATGAGCCCTTTTAACATGTTTCACCAAAAGGTGATCTTATTGTAAAATGCTAGGTCGATGCATGCTCATCTCCTACGAGTAGCTTTATATTACTCACCCACGAAGTGGGGACATTTTTCAGGTATAGGAATCAAGATTCGAGATTCTCATATTGCTTGGATGATTTGTAGCCTTGAAGGTTTCAATTTTTGTAAAAGTTTGCTTGAAATGCCACTTGTAGCCTTATATGTCAAAATGTGTATATTTGATTCCAATTATGTAATGTGTACATAAGTGCGCTCTATGCAATGTATTTGACATGTATGAGATAAGGCCGGAGGCCAATGACATGTATCTTGTATTCTATACAACTTTAACTTTATGAAATATTATGAAAATTTTGAAAAATGCTACGTCATTACTTCATAACTTTTGCATCGGGTGTGAGAATTCGATTCTTATTCTTTCATAGGGTCTTATAAATCATGTTTGAAGTGTGGCCAAGGGCCAAACGGTAATTTGAAATCATTTGATAATTTTGGTTTTCAAATTTTCCTTTTTTTGTTCATTTTTGCCTTTTTGTCCGTTTGGGGGTCCGATTTTGTATCGGTGGTATTTTTAAGCCATGGACCATTGTAGTGCGTCCAAATAGGTAAGTTACGTTTGTGTGCATGGTCGTTTCCGGGCAAACCTTCTTCTTTGGTGAAATGAGCCTCCTATGGACTCATTTTGAAATTTTGTTGCATAATCTGATCTAGGGGCATTCTAGACCTTTTACATCAGTTTTAATTTTTTCTTTCAACATGATTGAATAGAAAATGTGATTTTATGAGGGGTTTCTTCTTCGTGTTTTTTCAGAAAATGTCGTCTTGGTACAGAAAATCCCTCGTGAAGTTTCAGCTTCCAGTTTGCATTTTATCAGCTTTTTGGCCTTCATGACCAGATTTCATGGAGGGGCATTTTGCACATTTTACATTGAGTTTTTTTTGAATTCTCTCGCGAGTCACGTCGAAAACTCGATTTTAGGGGGGATTTTTTCTTCATGTATTTCCAGAAAAACTCGTTTTGACCTGCATTTCAAGCCTCAGTTCTGGAAAACCTGCTTTGAACCCTTGCTGTTAGCATGGGCATGCCATTGGGCGCCGGCATGGACGCCGGACGCGCATGGGGCATGTCATGGTCTTCGTCGGGCCGCCGCGACGTCAAAACTTCAAACACTCGTTTCTCCCTCGTCCGGACTCCAAATCGAGTGAACTTTTTTTTGAACTTGATTAATTTTTTGCTCTCTTTCCAACGGTGTGCTTGGTTGCACCCGAATTTTCTTGGATAATTACCAGTTTACCCTTTTAGCCGTAAGTACTCGTTTTTCTTCGTCATGCCGTTTTTCCTTCGTCCGGACTCCGAATCATGCGATTCTTGTGTCCATCTTGATTAGTTTTTCATTGTCCTTCCAGCGGTGTGCTTGGTGGCACCCAAGTCCATAATTTTCTAAAATGACTATTTTGCCCCTATGGGCTTATTTGTCATATTTTTGATCTTTTGCTTCCGCATCAGTTCTTATTGAGTTCCACGACCTCATGGAAGGTCACTTTGACTTCTTAGAGTCTTGTTTTCTGTTTTTGCTTCCGCAATTTGGATTCGTTATTGGGTCAATCTTCAGTTCATCACAAGACGCACTGGCTTGAAAAACTAGGGCCGTCACACAAAGACACTTATATGACATGTATGCTAGTTTAACTTCATAGCTTGTTTAGGGACTATAAGGGATTTCATGCATTGAAGGGTCATATTTTGCATGTGACATGCCATGAGGCTGTAGGCCATTGTAGCGCGTCTACTTTATCATTTTACGTATGCGTGCATGTTTACATTTGACAAAACTCTTAAGGTCCAACTTTTGAACTATTTTTGAATGATTTATGAGAATTTAAGCAAAATTCATACATTGGGGTATCATTTTAAGCTTCATTTTGATTTATCATGTTTCTAGATGCTTGCATGAGGCTAGGGAAAGTTTTAAAACTTGTTCGGATCAAATGGGAAGCATACATAGCCTTAGAAATGGACCAAGCACCTTCCTTATTCTTTACAGCAGCTTTTTCTGCTGCAGCAAGTTGCATCGGTCAGCTGATAGTAGAAATTAGCCGGCTGACACATATCAAGTTTGTATTCCAGTAGCCTTTTAGGGATTTTTAGCGTTTCAGCTGGCTGATGATTGGGGTTTGGTCGGCTGATGATTGAGGTTTGGTCGGCTGATGATGAGGGGTCAGCCGGCTGATCCTCCCTCGAACCTTCTTCTTTTGATTTTTCTTGGACAGCATTGTTGCTGTAACTTCAGAGAGCTATAACTCTTTCATTTCTATTCCAAATCAGGTCATTCTTGAGTCTAATTCAAGAGCTTGAAATCAGCTTTCCAATGATACCAACCATGCATCAAAACTCCAACTGTAGTGAGAGTTATTGCAGTTTTAGTGAGACAGGGTCGCGGTATCTCTAAATCGGAGAATGTCGTTTTGTTCTTATTTTCACATCTTTTCCTTCCAGACTCCGAATCAGGTGATTCTTGAGTCTAACTTTAGTAAATTTTCATTGTCTTTCCAATGGTATGCTTAGTAGCATCCATTTCTTTATGAAATGACCATTTTTCCCCTAGGTTCATTCTTGTCCGTTTTTGAGACGTCGTTTCCGTATTCGTTTTCTTTGGGCTTCGTGATCTCATTGAGGATCACATTGGTGTTTTATAAATGTGTAGTATTTCTAGAGGCCATTGATTTACATTTTGCTTCCGCATTCTAGATTCATTATTGGATTTACGTTCAGTTTATCATAGGACGCATTGGTCTAAAAACCAGGGCCATCACATGGGTCGTTGGTGGACGGTGGTGATGGAGGTTGGTGGGGGTGTGGTGGTGATAGTGGGTATTGGTGGCGGTGATGGAGGTGGAGGTGGGTGGTGTGGTGGTGGTGGGTATTGGTAATGGTGGTAGGTGGTGGTAGCGAAAGGAGGTCGATGAAAAATTAAAAAGAGACAAGGGTAATTTGGACCAAAAAAAATAAAATAGAATTCCTTATTCGGTCATTATTTTAGTTTAGTAGCTCTTTCACTCACATTACATTTAAATATGGTCATTTTTGTAAGTATACTAAGTTAAGTAGTCAGCTCAACTCTCCTAAATCCCACTCTTATAATCAAACCTTATTTACACCTGAAAATAATAATAATAATAATAAAAAGAAAAAAATTACTTATAACAATTCTTAAAGTACGTATACATTGCGAACATTTTTGTGTATATATATGTATATATTGCATTTTTAAAATAAATATATATATTCACATTCTTTAATATTGATTTTTTTTTTTTTTCACTCTTTAATATTAGTTAAGTGTACTAAGTTTTGCCCACTAAAGAATGCTTTTCAACGAAAACATCAACAATGGAATGACGAAGCATATAAAAATCGGCGAGTAATTTGAACAGTAGAATGTTCGAAGAAGCTTCGTGGCAAACGTAATGAGAATTGAGAAGAAAAGACAGTGAAGGATAGCAATGACGTGGCACATAATGACAAAACGTCCTTTTTCTGTTCATGAGGTTAGGAACCGACCAAGGATCATTAATCAACACAAATATGACAGTTATTAACGGTTAGGATACGTGGTTTATACGCGGAAACGCGTTGACCATGTGCGCTTTCCAACAGATTTCTGTAAGTCCTACTTTCAAAATACTCCATAATTCTTTTTATTAAAATGCAAGAGGAAGTTTGTAAGGAAAGTGGAAGCGTCCAGTTCAGTGTGTACTGTTTCTTGGATTTTCTTTCATATTTTACCGCAACACAAACAGGAATTTGGTGGGTCCAGTTGGCATGGTGGTGACCATTCTAGACTAAAGAATAATTTGGCAAGTGACCGGGGGGACGATTGGGAATTTCATGGTTTGACTCAGTCATATATATATATATATATATGTATGGATGTTCACTTGTGATTTATGACTTAATTAAGGTTTTGAGTATTTGATCCGGGTGAGATTCTTATTTTAATTTGGTGATTTTGATAAATAAAAAATAATAAAATCAAGCTATTCAAATTTGGTTTTGGTACGGTTCTAGGTTAAAATTATATTTAATTGATCCTAAACAATTCCTAAATATTAAAATCGGAACTGTTGGATTTTGAAATTGACTCGTAAAAAATCATTACGGTTCGATTCTGAAATTCATCGCGACTCTCCTAAAAGAATAATTGTAATAAGACACTATTAATGATTTGCTTAAGCCATGTGATATTAGCAGTGGACACTATTAATGATTTGCTTAAGCTATGTGGTAGTACCTTACTGCTAATATTAGAATTAATATAACATTCAATGTACAAATGAGAGTAGAGTTTTTAACGTCTTAGAATATGTAAGATTGAGTGATACCTATTGAATCGTACTTACTCATAAGCACTACTAACATAAAATATAATCTCGAATGCATACAACATTTATATATATATATATTTAGTTTACATCTCAGTCTATTCCTAATGGACCTAAAGTTGGAACCGTTACTATCATTCTTTATTTTTGAAAATAAAATCGAAACCAAATCAAGGAGAATCAAACCGAACCGAATGTTCGCTTCAGTTCGGTTCCTACCTATTAATTTATTCCAACTATTTTTTGGGCAATAACAATTTCTACTGTAATATTCCAATTGCCAATCCGTATTAGTTAAAAATAAAGTACTAATTAAAATTTCTAACAAGCCACAATACACTATAACAAATTAGTGAAATTAAATTAAATTGAAAAGCTCCATAAGTACACGTCAGCATCAGCTTCCATGTCATTCTCATTCTGCCCATATCCTCCAGAGTGAGGTGGAGGTAGCATCAACCCCTCGGCCATATTTTCAAGCAATCCCGGCATGCCGAAAACCGCCTCGTCATCCATGAAGAACAATTTCTCCGGCAATGTCGTCGTTTCTTCTGGCTTCATATCATTACCGGAAACCTCGTTGGTTTGATCTTCCGACCGCCGGAAAGATTCTGCCGCCTCGGCTGCAGCCTTCTGGATGTCCTTGGCATCGGCCGATGCTGGAACGGGCAGCCGCCACCCTGAGTCAGCAAAATTGAGACAAGCTGATCGGCCTCTTAACGCTAGCGCCGCCACGTCATGGGCCTCCGCCGTCGGGAACGTCCCCAGCCATGTTCTCGACTTCTTGTTCGGCTCCCGAACCTCACACACCCATTTCCCGCCGTTCCTCCGCCTCACTCCCCGGTACACTGGGTGCCGAGTCTCCCTGAACTTCTTCCGCCCAGCTCGCTTCTTGGGATGACAGGAAGCCAACATAACCTCCTCGTCGGAACAATTGGCACGGCCGGTGCTGCCACAGTCAGAAACCGACGATGATTCCGGCAACTCCGGTAGCCAGATATTTGACATATCCATCAAAGTAGTAGTAGGAAGTAGTAGGTACTGATAGTGGTAGTTGAAATTGGGTAAAAGTTATAGTATTAGTGATTTCAGTTTGCTTTTGGGGGCACAAGTATGAAACTATGAATAAAGTAGTTGTCTCTATATTTGTATGTATAAATAGATAAGATTAAGATAAAGTGAAAATGAATAAACATATATATATATGGTATGAATAATATATGTAACGCGAGTTTTACACTTTAACGACGGGGGATTGAATTGAATGTGATGAGCAGACAGGCTGGGCAGCTAGGCATGACTTTGAAAAGGAAAGTGCGATATGTGATGATGTGGTACCAGCTGTTTTTGTCAGCAAGTTGAACGCTAATAGTTAATTGACATGTGTGGTTTGAGGTGGCGTGGCCAGTCAACATTTAACCTTTTAGTAAAAGAAGCTGTTACTGTCGGAGTCAAAGTCAGGAATAGACTAGTTTTTTTACTAACAGAATCAATGTCAGGAATAGTTTTTTTCACTCCAAATGGGTTTTCTTTTTAAAGTATAGCGTGAGGTTTGCTACATGGACAGTCAATAAGCTGTTTTTTGAATAATGATATTCCTATTAGAATTGTTATCTAAATAAGACCATAGAGTAACTCTAATGGACTATTATACGGATTCTCAAACTCAAAATTTGAGAAGCGAATAAAAATGGGCTTTTTAATGGGTTCTTAAAATTTGAGATTCTCAAATTTGCTCTGAAATACAGCAGTTGTTAAATTTTTTTGACAAGTCTCTTAATTGTTTTGTGCGATACCGTTTCTATCTCTGTCCCTTTCGTTGCTTTTTATCTTTGGCCTTTCATTGCATTGCCCTGTCGTCTCTCTCTCCCTCTTATCTGCAACAACCGACTATTATCGACAGTGACTGGCGCTTAAAGGTGATAAACACCGACCGGGTAAATTCTCAGATCTATTTTCTCTTCCCCTCTCATCCTCATATATGTATATGTATATGTATATGTATATGTGTGTGTGTGTGTGTGTGTTTGTATATATATATCTTCTTAGATCTGTAATTTTGTTTGAAAAACTCAAATATGTAATTATACATGTCATGTTTTTTAGTAGCCAAACATTTAACATAGCACAAACCCCTACTCCGTTAATCACCAATTGGCATAATAAGGTTTTAGGGTTTGTTGCTTTGGGAGCAGAGAGCTTTCATCTCTTGATCTGCAAAAATTAGAGGGTTTTGACTAGGAATTTAAGTTGGATTTTTTTATTTTTTTCGAACTTGTATGTTTTTTTATATCTGATTGAACTTTGAAAATGAAGAGGGATTTCTTGGGTTTGAGCTCAAAAGAATCTGTAAATACGGTTATGATTTTTACATCTATGACTTGTAATTCTGTGTTGATGTAATATTTATTCTGAAATTCAGTTATAATTCTCTTTCATGATCTTACAGTGAGTTATTGTGGACTTACTATATGAACTTTTTTTATCTTTTAGTTTTTGATTATGATTCTCTATCATGAGATACAATGGATTTTCTTGAATGCATGTAAATGAAAGTGTTCTTTCTTGTAAATGAAAGTCTACCAAAAGTATTCACTAGTTATATTTAACTGAGACTTGTTGTTTTTTTTTTTTTTTTTCTTTTCCCTTTCTTTGTTAAACAAAAACAAAAATGAAGTTCTAATTTTGAAGTCGCTTTATGCAAATTAGTGATTAATTTGAGTATTATGGTAGATGGGTTCCTTTTACATTTTTCCATTGATGATTTCAATCAAAAAATGGTAGTTGGGAATGGTAGTTGGAAAAAAAAAAAAAAAAATGGTGGTTGTGTCAAAAAATAGCATTTTATATGAAATGCATCATTAGAGCAGAATTGCTAAAATGTAACATTGTGACACTGTAACACCTCTCAAAAGATAGTTTTGGCATGCAAAAATAACATTTTCCATTGGAGATGGTCGTAAATGGTTTGAAAAGATGAAATTGTCTCTTAATATTAAAATCAATTTTATTGTAAAATATCAAACATGTTAAAATGTTGAAGTTACACTTTAGTTAATATGAGTTACAAAATGGCGATTGTGCTGAAATTCATTAATTTCATATAGATATTGTAATATTTCAATTGTTATGACATTTTTTTTTCCTAGTTGGGACTCACACACTGCCTGCACTGAGGTTCGAACCCCTGACCTCCATTTGGGAAGTAGGAGCTTTGTAATTGTAATGACATTTTTATCAAAGGTTCCCCTGCATGTCAAGTTACTCTCTAAAAAATTTTGTAATTTTTAGCCAAACAGATAATTTTATAAAAATTCGACAACAGTTGCTATATGGAATTTTCCACTTTTTGATCAAGTTTTTAATTAATTTATTTGATAGCCTTCTAGACATCAGATCATCACCAAAATTTTCAATTTTATACTTCTGTGAGTCTACTTTCCAAAAAAATTTCGTTTGCTCAATTTAGATTTCAAACGAATTTTTTATAAATATTTTATTCACTACTATGTAGATTTTTCCTCTAACTTAGTGCTTCATTTTTTTTGCAGAAAATGTTAATGAGGGGTAGATTGGTCAAATTCATTAAGTTGTAAAATTAAAAAGGTCCACTAAACGGTCAAAGGGAAAGTCATTCAATTCCTAATGTGTCATATGTGGTAGGTGGCTACATGGGGTGTCTTTGTCAACTTTTTCAAACTTTAAGTGGTGTTATTGTCTAAAAAATAACCAACTTGTATATAACTGTCAATATGGCAAATCTCATGGGATGTCATTGTACTTTATCCTTTTAAAGTTTTTATGCAATGGTACGAGGAAACAAATTCCTTGGCGATCATACTATGTAATGAATGGAGTATCATTTATGGGTTGTTTTATTTTATTTTATTTATTGATATATTTATTTTTTTGGGAGTGTTTGGACCGTGTCTTTGACATTTTTGGGATTAGATTGGATGGGATTGAATTTCATAGTCCAATTTTTAATTTTTTTAAAATTTTTTATACTTTGGTTCCAATTATTTCAATTTTTATCTACATTATTATTCATCTTCTTCGGCGACATGTATGTGAATGTGATGAAAAAAAGGGAAAGAAGTGAGAAAGTGTATAGAGAGAGAAAAGGAAGGAATGGTTTGAGAAGGTAGGTAGGCACATTTTTTAATAGTGGTAATGATGAAAAAAAATGGCTATCTCTGTTTCTCAGCCTAACCAATCTGGTTGGGCGAGAGTTGCGATTGTGGATAACAATCCTATGTTTAGAAAAGGAAAAAGGGATGGCCTATAGACCCTATGTCTTTAAGTAGCCCTACCTAAAGACATTACATATTTTTGTTCTTTTTTTATTTTTTTACAATATAATTATCAGCCACTTCCATTGGAAACTGTTGCGGTCAATTCCACTAATGAGTAGAAAGTGATATGTGACTTCATCTAAGGAAGCCACTTGGTAAAAGTAACTGCCTAATAACACGTGGTAGACTTTTAGGATAGTGGTTATGGCTGAAAGTTGTATCCTTCCAGTGGGAGACATGACTAGGGATGGTAACAGGGGCAATTTTGGGCGGGTGTAACCTTCTCCGCAACCATTTAGAAAACCCTGCCCTGTCCTCGCCCAAAATTGTCTAAACCCCGGGGGGGGGGGGGGGGAGCTTTTTACCCATCCCCGCCACTGTTTAATTTTTTTACCCCCGCGGGCAACCATCCTGCCCCGTTTAATTCCATAATTTCTCCTCCTTTTTAATTTTTTTCCTCAAATACAATTATATAACTATTGAAAAAATTCAAAAAAAATGGGGGGCAATCAATAATTTAACATAAAATTTAAAGGTATAGGTGTTCTTAGTTCGTAGGGCTCTGTCGCTCTCTAGAACGACTGAGAAAGTGAGTGAATGTGACATATGGTTTCTAGAGCTAACTATATATACTAATAAAATAAGGGTAATTTAGTAATTTATCTACCTAAACGGGGTGGGGCGGGGTAGGGTGACCTCCCCCCCACCCCCGCCCCAACCTCGAACCCGTGCAGTTTTTCATTAATAAAAACCATCCACGCCCAAATAAATTAAATGGTCCTCCAAACTGCTATAAACGGGGTGGGGTGGGGCGGGTACCCATCCCCGCGGGGTAAATTGCCATCTCTGCACATGACAAGCAAAGATGTAAGCAGTTACTTGTAGTTGGAAAATCCTGAGTAGGACACGTGGCAAATAAAGGAGTAAACAGTTACCTATAGTTGAAAGTTATATATGCTAAGTGGGAGGAAGAGTGGTTATTCCAATGACACGTGAAAGATTCCGAAAGAAGGTCGTGCGGTAAAGCAATAGAAACACCAAAACATAGGTACAAGATGAGCACAAAACATTGGAATAAGGGATATGTGATAGATTTTCAATGGAAGATCGTGGTGGTAGACAGTTATTCCAGTGGAAAGTCGTACAAGAAAATAACAAGAAAAATATAACATCGGTGTAGACGTGGAGCACAAGACGAGAGGAATCAGGGCAACATAGGACACTTGGCAAACTCTTATCAAAACAACGTAACTGACAATGGAACCGTCAATAGTAACTACCATCTTAGAACTCTATAAGTATGACCCATAGTTTTAACTTACCAAGCATGTTCAACACCACAAATCAATAACATTTTATTTCAATTCCATTCTAGTTATTGTTGGAAACGGGGGCATTAAAAACATAAACTTTGGATGAGATTTGAAATAGATTCCGTTAATAATTTTTTACGGATCTCTAGACAAGCGCGTTTCTCTCCGTAAGGAGATGAATGTGGTATATTTACTTTCTGAAATCCGTTTCCGGATGAATGAGAAATTAGTTCCAAAGTGTGGTGTTTTGATAAGCCTAAATGGGTATGCAAAATGTGGGAAGTGTTTGTCCCACATGGAAAAAATGTTGAAACAAATTGAAATTTAAATAAGCTGAGTTTATGATTTGGGCTTGGGCTTGGGCCTAATTGTAAAGTCCAGATTATTCTTTTTTGGAATTTTGGATTGGGCCTAATTTTGGGCTGGGCTTATTTAAATGGGTTTCACAAATGAGTGGGTTTTTTGGGTGGTTGGCTTTTTGAATTAAAAAAACTACTTTTTAGTTTTTCTAAAAGGTTACACCTTTTAAATTAAAAAACCATA